AGCCCCACCCGAGGACCTTCCTGGCCCAGTCTAGTCGTCATACTTCTCCGCGCTCCCGGTCCACTCCCCCGATCCTTCACCCACCTTCGACCCCTCACCCCGGACCCTCAGCCGCCCTCGCCCCAGACCGCTCTTACCTTCGCGGGGCTGCAGCGCCGCCTCGCGTTGCCGGGACAACGGCTGCTCACCGAACACGAAAACAGCCGAAGATGAGCGACGCGATCGCCGAGGCCACCCGAAGCTCCCCGAGAGGCCGGAAAGAGTCGAAGAAGATCGGGAATGTTCGTGCGGCGCGGAGGACAAGATTTCTCTGCTGGTCCCCGCCAGCCTCGAGCTCAGCGGTCCTGAGGAGCAGTTACTCCCCAGCGTAGCTACGGTCAAGAATCGACAACGCTAGCTCTAAAAGGGGGGATAAGAGGCCAAATTATTTATAAAGTCATTTACCGTTCTGCGCAGAGAAGGGAAGCTGGTGAAATTCTTCTAGGGGTGATGGCGATGCAAATCCTGTTGGGACCCGTTCCTGTAGATAACACCTTTCCAACCAAGTAAGTCTGTCAGGAGGTGAAGGAAGGCAGCAGAGACTGTGGGGGAGAAACAGAACGTCATCTTCTTTAAGAGTCTCTCTTTAATATTGCTGGGTCTTCTGGACTCGGGACCCCAATGCTCTGTTTGGTCTCAAGGAGGAGTTGGTTCAAGGGTATTTCTGAGAAAAGCCAATTCAATCGATTCGACATACTTCCTTGAAGTTATTAGGTAACTTATGACATGCAGCATATGCGTTCAACGCTTTGGGGGCCACGTGGAGGCCTTTGGCGAGAAAAATGGTAGCCAGTGGTACCGGATCAGCCCATTAGAACCCAACCTGATTTCGTGGAGGCTGACTGCATTCCCAAAGACATTAGCAACGTGCGCTCTGACCTTATGATCAGTGTGGACAAACGAGTTTTGAAAAACAAAGCAAATGTCATTAAAAAAAAGTTACTATAGCAAAAGGCAGCAAAAAGGTCCACATGATGAAACAAGTGAAAAAACAAAAGGAAAATGTAGATACTACTGGATGAGACGGAATAGGTGCCAGATCACATACTACAAGGAAGATTCTATTGTTAAAAAAACCTTTTCATCAACACCAGAATTTTTTATTGAATAAGTTTGACATGTAACGTTGTGTAAGTTTAGGGTATACAGCGTGTTCTATATATTGTAATATATATATTGTAACAATATAATTGCTCATACAGCTTACTTATCACATGACTAATTGTAGTACAATATTGTTTATATTCATTATACTGGTCATTAGATCGCTATGGCTTATTTTACTACTCCATACAAGTTTGTATCCTCAAACACCTTTACTCTTATTCCCTCCCCATAAACACTAGAATTTAAAAAACACTCCCTTACCTCCCTAACGAAGAAAAAGGACCTAAGTGCCCAGCACCATCCGCTACGCTAAAGAACTTAAAAAGCCCACGCTCAATAAAGGGTGTGTTTATCTGCCTCAGTTGCACTTTTACAGTTTTTCTTTCGCGCCAGATTCAAGATTCCGAGCTGAGGCGGCGTTTTCTTCTCACGCATCCGTCAACACGGCCCCAGCCAATCACAGCCCGGGCGCTGATTTTATTGGCCGTCGATCCACCAATTCAGAGAGACGTACCACCCCGCAAGGACGCGAGGCGGTGTCACAACATTACCCGCGTCGCAGTCCCTCCTCCCGCCCCCGCCCAGAGTCTGTGCGTGCAAGCAAGCGCGCCCGCTTCTGGCCAATGGGAGAGCCTCTAGAGGGGTGCGCCCGCTGAAAACTTTCGGCGTGCTCGTTCCCGTGCGTGTCGCCCCGCCCCGGCCCGTCGCCCGGACCCCGCCCCGCGCACCGCCTCTGCGGTCTCCACCGGCCGCCGTAGCCGGAATTCCTGCTGAGCGCGGCTGGCCGTGTCTGCGGGAGGCTGAGTGGTTGCGGCACCGGCACCGGCAGCCCAATCAACCGCACCCCGGCCACGGAGGGAACGTGCCCGGGCGACGAGCGTTGCTTGGCGACTGTATCCGAGGCGGGAGCACCATACCGGCGTCGCGGCCTCGCTGCAGCCAGCGCTCGGGGCCCGGGGCTGCCCAGCCCCGCCGGATCTGCGGGCGCCCGGGAGGCCCCCGAGGGGTCCGGGAAGCCAGGCTGCTGCGAGGCATTGATGAAAAAGGTGACGGGAGTCTGGGGCTGGGAAGGGGTGGGCCACCTCGACCGGCTGTCAGGGCAAGGCCGGGCTCCAAGCTGGAGCGTGGCTGCGGGGGAGCGGCCTGCGTTCTTGCCGCGGTGGTTACGCACGCGGTGCTTTGTCGGAGCGGCTCGGGGGAGCCGGGACCGAGAAGCGTTGCGTTGACAGCGCGCTTTGTGTGCAACCAGAAATCGGTCAGAGAGGGAGGGTTTTGCTTTTCTCTTCCCAAAACGTGACAAACGGTATCGAGCCGGGATTGGGTTTGAGGTGATTACACCTCTGCACGATCAGGAAGTGATGGCGGAGATTTTCGGTAAAAGGTTTTAATCCCCGTGTTTTCCTTTTCCCTAAGGGGAAAACTCTGAAATGTGTTAATATCCTTTTAATCCTGAAAAGCCATGCTCTTCTGTGATCAGTTTAGTGGCTTCCAATATTCAACCTTGCAATCAGGCAAGTTTATTCTGTTGTGGCTGATGTATGCTTTGCCAGATCGCTAGGTTGACTGTGGGTAGCTTTGGGATGACAGACCCCTGGAAGAAGGGTTTTCCACATTATAACCCAGAGCAAAGCCTTTTGGGATATTTTCAGGTATCTTAAATAGAAATAGATAGGTTGAGCAATAAATAGTGAGAAGTCCTGTGCAATGAAGTTCTTTAAGTTTGGATATTTGTCTTGCATAGTTCTATTCTTTGGCAGTTTTTTTTTTAACTAGCATGAATTCAAATGATTTATAAGATCATTAACAGATGAAAACTTTACAGGTCATCTTGTGACAGAATACATCAGAGCTGTAATAGGTATTACTATGATTTTTACTTCATTCCAAATCTTTCTATGAAAGGTCCTTGCCTCTGTGACTGTATTTTGTTAGCCTTGATGCCTTGCCCTGGTTTTCCTTTTAAATGGAAATGTTATGGTCCTCCGCAGTTGTGTTGAGCTTGTCAAACACAGTTTGGGCATAGCATCAACACCTGTTGAGGAATCTAATATTTATCTTTCTTACTTCATCGCATGCACACGTTATTATTTCTGGGCTTACAATGATAGATAGGTACCTGATTCCCTTCGTTTATTTTTGAGTTGGTCTGCTCTCTGGGCTGCATACATTTTAAGAGTCATCCCATTTTGTTGTGACATTTCACACAGCAGTGAGTAACAAAGTTAATGCAAGAATTTTATTAGTGGTTACCAAGGGTTTTAACATAATTCTCTTCTACCCATTCTCGCATTTAGACCTGGACATAGCTGTGCTGTCCCTTTCAGGGCTGGCCCCCAACCTGTTCAATGCAACAGGCCCCTTTGTTGCAAAAAAAGCATTTTTAATTCGTAAATCCCCGTAGCAGCACACATCTCCCACCCCGGGAAGCAAGATTCCCAGAAACCCCAAGCTTATTATTCTTTATGTCTGTTTAAAAATAAGCAGGCGGACAGGCAGCCGCGGGCCACTATGGAGTTCCCTGTGCACGCAGGAGAGCCCGCGCCTCTCCCCAGTCTCGGTGGATCCGGGCCCGTAGCCCCCGTTCAGGGGCCAACTTGGGGGGCCGGCGTGCGGGGCAGGTGCGCGGGCCCGGAGCCCCGCGCGTTTTGAGGGGTGGGGAGGGGTGGGGTTGGGGGGCGCGGGCGCCGAGGCCCGGCTGGCCCAAGCAGCGCGCGGGGAGCGAGGCCACCGCGCAGCCTGCTCGCCGCGCAGGCCATGAGCCGCGGCCCCTCCGGGTAGGTGTCTCTGGGCCGCGACGCCGGGACGCCAGGACCCCAGAACCCGAACCTGGAACCCCAGACCCGGACCCTTCCGACCCCACCGAGCCGGGGCTCCGCGCGGGTCGTGCCGTACGGGCGCGGCCACCGAGCTGCCGCCCGCCGCCCCGGCGCCGCCGTCGCCGTGTCTTGGCCCACGGGGTCCAGCCGGGGGTCCGGGCCGGGGTTCGGGGTCCGGGGCGGCAGACTCGACCGGGAGGCGGCGGGCGGGCCGCGGGAGGACCTGGAACAAACAACGGCGGCCATGTTGAGAGGGAGGCGGGCGGCTAAACTTCGCGGCGGCTCCGGGCCGCGCCGGCCTCACCGGGGCCCCTCTCCTCTCCCGCAGGATGACAGTGAAGTTGGGAGACGGCGGCGGCGGGGAGGAAGGGCTCAAGAGGCTGGGCAAGAGGGCAGCCGATGAGGACGCACTGGAGGGAGAGGGGGCCGGCGGCGGGGACGCGGCGGAGGACAGCGGTGGCACAAAGAGGGACGGCAAGACCCCCCGGGGCGGTGGCGGCGGCCCCTCGGCCCCCGCGGGCGGCCCGCAGGCCCCGTCCCCGCCGCCTGCCTGCCCCCAGGACCAGCACCACTTCCTCCGGTCCAGCGTGAGGCCGCAGAGCAAGAGGCTCAGGAAGGACTCGTCGTGCGCCGGGGGGAGCAGCAGCGCCGGCAGCTCCGGGCCTCGCGGAAAAGGTACGGGGGACCCCAGACCCCTCCAGGGTGTGCCCTGTGCTCGCCTCCTGGCCTCCACCCCAGTTCCTGATCCCGCTCTCGCATGTGTCCAGTATGCACTTGGGGTGGTACTCTGGAGGGGACGTGCCCCCTTTCTCCTCCAAAGAGGCTGTTTCTTTCTATTTTTAAACTATGCTAAGAGGCTGTAAGTATCCTTTCTTTGGGCAAGTACAATAGATTCCTGAAGGCTGGGTATGTTTGTTTTGTTTTGTTTTTTTACCTCAAAGGATCATTGATGATTTATATGGTAGGCTATTTTACACGGCAGACAATAGTTTAGAATTGGAGAGAAAAAAATACCTGTGGTATCTCTTTGCCAGACGGTGGAAATACAACAAAGGAATGGGCTTTGGGGGGAAAGGTTGATAAGCTGAAAATGATCCTGGGGTCTGACTTGGGCTCATCGTCCTCTGCTTCGAGTATTCTAGGCTCAAAAGTATCAAGGGCATCAAGACGAAGCCCTTTTGAGTTTCAGCGCCATGGAAAGGATTTTCCCTAGGGTAGTAAGTAGGTAGTGAAAACATTAGTGGCCTGATACAAATTAGCAGCAGGCTACAGTGTTTGTCCTGGTATTCGGAGGTGATTGAGAATATTACAGCTCTACTAGGGTCACTATCAAAAATAAGAAAACCATGTGTCAGTTTTGTTACTGCTGTGCTGGTTCTCCATTGTTTTCTTCTTTCATCTGTTTCTGTTTCAACATTTTGCTTTTCTTTAGTTGTACAAGCAAGTTACTCTTAATATCCCTTTTGTTTCAGGACAACTTTGCAACACTTTTGTAACTAGCAGATATAATGTCAATTTCTAGTGAGTTTCTAATGAAAAAAACTTTAACTTAGCTCCTTGGGAAATGGTTGTTTAAATTTATTAGATGGTCCTGATAGTTTTCAAAAGGAAATATTTCAGAAGCAAACGGAGAACCCATTTTGGAGATGTGTGCCAAATGTGTATGTGCCATTAAACTTACTGTTTCCGCCTCATTCTCAACGGAGGATAGCTGGCCTCTGAAATAATGGCCTTACTCATTTTGTGGTAAAGAATTTTGTACGTAAGTATCCTTACTTAAAGATGTAAATATAAAGAAATTTAGTATATTTTAGAAACTAAAACTTGCCTCATATACATTTATTTTGGATGTGATAGTTGATCAATTAGGAAAATACCAATTTGTTTTACCGGCTTCATTTGTTTTGTAAAAAACAGTTTTTCATTCTTAGTTATAGGTGTGTCTAAGTTATCATGTGTAAGCTCCTGGGGTGCCTTCGAGGGTTTGTTCATGACTTCAGAAGCCCTGGATCTAGATTCCAGTTAGAGTTCACAGTCTCATCACCCTGGCCCTCTGACCTCGGTCTGCTCGCTTGATCTCTTGAATCTGCTTTTTCATCAGAGAGGCGTCCTCACCTGTGAAATGAGGACCAGTAGTGACTACTCCACTCTCTGGAAGTGTGGTTGCTAAGATGAGATGAAGTGCTGGTGTGAAAGCACTCTGCTACCTGTAAATGGCTACCTGTATTTGAGATGCTCAAACTCAAGGGGTTGGTTATAGTTTTGGCAGTCAGGTGATGAGGGGACGTGTGCTTTCATTTGCATAGTTGTATATGGCTTGCTGAGATGGAAAGGGTTCCCTGGATCAACCTCGCATCAGATCTTTGGCACTTCTGTCCTTGGTTCCTGACCCCAGTGTGTGGCTTGGAGCAACAATTGACTTTTCATTAGTAAAATGGAAATTTGTTAGAATTTGTGCTTCTTGTGTGTGACGTATGCATTTTCCTATTTTAGTGAGTATATATATAAATATATATATATATATTTTTTTTTTATTGTACTATATGTGTTTATTTTTTCTAGAATCTGCTTTATCTTAGGGAAAAATGCTGACAGTGATGTTGCAGGATTGCACAACTAGAAAGCACACAGATCTTGACTGCAAGGCAGCATTAGCTGTCTGAAAACAGGTACCCGTGAGTTTTACAACACAGTCAAAGGAAAAAAAATCTGAAAGGATGGATGTGTATATATGTATGTACATATATTCATGCGTATGCACATTTCCACATATCCATGTATGTACATGCACATGTAAACATGTAGATATGTATGTATATGTATACATACATTTTTATAATTTTTAGTATGCCCCTGATTTAAGATTTCAAATAGAACAGAAGGGTATATGTAAAATTAAAACGCTTTCTGCTTGCGCCTCACTCCACCCACTTCCTAGAGGGACAAGCAAGCAAATATTTATTTATGTAAATAATAAAGCTAAACCTTAATGGTGACTTTTAGGAGAGGAGTAAGGAAGTATGTCTCCTTTGCTTCACAGAACTTCTCAGCCAGTCTGTGGCCATTAGCTCCTCTTGACTGTTCTGCCCTTGAGCTACCAGGATCCTTTGGAAGCTCTTCTCCATGTCCAGGACTTCCCCTCCTTATGCCTTAGGGTTAACCTTAACCCTTAGCACCTCAAAGAATAGGCAGGAGAGAAGGTCAGGTTGGGACAGCGTGCCTGAAACCTTTGAAAACATTCGTAGAGGAGCATTTGTCTTACAGACTGGGGTAGTGAGCACAGATCAGTAAGGAAATGAACAGTCCAGCTGGTACTCGAATTCCTTCCTCATTAATAATGTTGATGAGATATCCTAGGAGTTTAACTGTTGTTTACATCTGTTAGCCTGTGGCAAAATTGGTTTTGTTATACATTGTTTCACTTAAAGTTCCAGAACCTATCAAAGATGTTAAATGAGGACTTCCTGTACTGGCATTTTTAGTTTTTCTCTTGAAAACATTCGGATGTCCTTAGGCCTAAGGAATAATCACAGCCTGTTCATTGGAGGTTCCTGTGGTTGATTGCTTACTGCTCTGGCCAGTTTTAGTCTTAGCACACGTGCGAACCTTGCAGTGAGTGTGAAGCAGAAGATGAGAAAGGGAAGTCCGTCCTCGTTTTGCTTCTCTCCACACAACTGTGTTTTTTCCCCTCAGTAATAACAGACTCTTGTCAACGCAATGAAAAATATTTTTTCCTAGTACAATTCTGACTTTTTTTTTGAGTTGATAAAGTAGTTAAGATTTAGCGTCTATGTGCCAGACATCTGGCATCTCTGTTACTTTACTTTTAAATAGGTGCAGAAACTGGAGTTTGTTGTTTAGATAATGTGCTCAACCTAAACAGAGGATAAGCTGCAGACGAGAAACCAGTGGGTGTGCTTGGTGCCAAAACAAACGCTCCTGCAGCCCTGCCATGCTTCCCAGAATGACCCAAGGATGCATTTGAGACTGAAACCCAGAATTCACAGATCTGTGGGGACATAAGCCAGGAGACAGAGCCCCCGATGCCTCTCCCTGTTTGGCAGTTCATGGTCTGGGTGATGCTGGGCAAACTAGTACATCTCGATTTCTTTGTCTATAAATGAGGCTAATACCAGCGCTTACCTCAGCACAGTAAATACCACAGTAAGGCCATGCTGGCTGGTGTTTAATGGGCTTCCTGTGCCTGGCTGCGGGGTTGGGCTACAGACTGAGTCTGAGCAGGTGGACGGGAGGGGCAGGCCCTGTGGGGAGGTAGGGGGTAGAGGTTCTAGGAACACCCCCAAGCTGCTGCCCTGTGAGGACAGTCGGGGTCAGGGGATACTTAAGGTGGTACAGCGTCAGACCCTCCATTTCCATTGTGTTGTGTTCCCCCCGAACTTCCGTCCTACCCATCGAACTAGTCAGGAAATGCACCGTCTCCAGAATTGGGCCATGTTGCCTGGTTTCACTGTGCTTGGGCTTAGGAATCGGTAAATCACTGTACAGAACTTACATTTTGCATAATCTGCCTGTAGCTTCCAGTTGTTTTTAAAAGACGTCTTAGGAAATATGTCACTCAGATTCAGTCAACTTTTGGGAGACTGGAACCATGTGGGAAAGAGGTTCAGACCAGCTGTCAGGAGACCCATCTTCTCCCCCCGTAGCTGCCAGGTGGCTGGTTCAGCTGTGGGGCAAAGGCAAAGTCACTCAGCATGCCCAGACCTTAAGTTCGTTCCTTCCTTTCAAAATTGGGCTGGTGAGATAGTGGCTGAAGCTATGCTCACTTTAACATGCACGGATGAAGTAGTCCACTGTGCAGAATGGACTTGGGTCTTGTGTGTTCTCAAGAGAGTGTTCTGGATGGTAAATTGCCTGAAATCAGGATGTTTTATAGCTGGTAGGCCCTGCTTAGCTTTGCCTCTCAGCACCAGGCAGTGAGTAGCCAACGTTTATGCTCCTCCCTCCCGGGGTGGCGCTCCTTGGGGTGCCTGGTGTGGCCCCACCTCTTGTCTGCACTGCCATCACTCTCACTGTCCCGTCATCAGCCACTGGGGCCAGTCCCCAGGTGGCTGGCTGGAGTGCAGTCGTGCATGTTTTGAAGTGCCTGCCCTCCATACTCTCCGGGGGAAGGGGGACACATCAGATGACTGAGGCCAGAGTGCTGTGGTTCTTCTGTTCTGTCCAATCTAGTAAATGATGTTTCATAAAGTCAAGTGCAATGACGACTGCATGGAGCCACAGTGGCCACCTCGGCAGCAATGTTAAGCATTGCTGAAAACCTCCAGACCTCGTTGGGAGAAGAGGAGGAGGAGGAAGGGGAGACATTCCTTCAACTGTGTACAGCACACAGCAGCACACCCCATGTGATGGCTGCACACAGTGGAAGACACAGTAACCCCGAAACGTGGTCCTATTGCATGACACAAACCCCCTAGTAGGTCAGGAGACCCATGGCCCAGGCCACCTCAAAGACAGGTCACGATGGAGCTGTGCAGGACAGAGAAGAAAATACCTGTACACCAGAGGTTCTTGGTAAATTACTAAGTTCAGAGTTGTCCAAATTGCATTTGCATCATGTGAAAGATGCGGATAGATAGTATAAATGAGTAGATGAGGTATTATTTGAATATTGGTTTGAAGGCCGAGTTCAATTTTCTTTGACTTTTTTTTTTTTA